CCTGTTGTTCCCAGACACTTAGCACAATTTTTTTTTTTTCAAATGGTCTGGGAGTGCATTTTCATAGAATATGTTGAAATAATCAGATTCCCTCTTTTCCCTCTGGCTGCTGTTCAGCCTTACTTTACCCTTACAGCTCACCTTGGAAGCCACTTTCCTGTTTGCAATGAAGTGGGAGGATAGAAAAGATACTATGCTTCTCAGTGGTCATTTTGTTAAGTGTTTTCTATTCAAATGTTTAAAAATTATCTCTCTGCCCTGAAAGCATACAGTAGCTCTGGTTAGAGGGCCAGGTATAGGTTTCCTTTTCTCTACATGGATGAATACACTTGTAGGTTCACATCTGCTCTTGTCAGGAATAATTTTCCACTATGTTTTTTTTCCATTGCTGAAGCATGATTCTCGGTTCTGACCCTGGCCTTGAGATGGATCCTTGGACTACCTCCATGGAGATATTCTTGATTTTGTCGAGGGAGGCATGAACTTTTCCTTCTTGTCAACTACCCATTTCTCATCCCTTTCTAGCCCACAAACCCTCAATTGTCATCCATTCATTTATTTGCTCCGTAAGCATTTGTTGTTTGTCCACTGCATGCTGAACACTATACTCAAGGCTTTGGGGATTCCACAAAAAGAAAGAAAGGAAGAAAGAAGGTATTTTCTCTCTAGTTAAAGAATTAAAATGTGTAAGTAAAAATTACATAGCAAATTACCAATGTCTTAAAACATTTTTCTTGCTTACAATTATGTAGTCAAATTTCACACCGCTATAAAGATACTACCTGAGACTTGGTAATTTATAATTAAAAGAGGTTTAATTGACTCACAGGTCTGCGTGGCTGGGGAGGCCTCAGGAAATTTACAATCATGGCAGAAGGTGAAGGGGAAGCAAGGCACATCTTACATGGTGGCAGGAGAGAGCAAGAATGAGATGGGAACTTCCAAACACTTTTAAACCATCAGATCTCATGAGAACTTCCTCACTATCACTAGAACAGTATGAGGGAATCCACTCCCAAGATCCAATCACCTCCCACCAGTTCTCTCCCTCAACATGTGGGGATTACAATTAGAGATGAGATTTGGGTGGGGACACAGAGCCAAACCATAATAACTTATAACTTATAAAATAATCTATCTTTGTAATTTCCCATTTAGAAATCCCCCATCCTTTATTCTAATTCTGCCCTTTATTCAAATCCCCCTCTATGAGAAGCAAGCTTATTTTGAAGCTTTTTTACCCTTTACCCACCCTAACTCATGCCTGACACATACAAGTCTGTTTCTCTTCCTTTTTCCCTTTTTTCCCTCTCTCCCTCCCTCCCCCTCTCTCTACCTTCCTCCTTCCTTCTCAGTATTTGGATTGTGGTAAAGACTTTATAGAAACTATTCATACACTTAGAGTTACTCTTTTCAGACTTATCAGACCAGAAATACTTCACAGTGGCTTCCAGTTGCTTCCTGGAGTGGGATGGAGAAGCAGAAGATGAGCCTGAAGACATAAGTCAACACCAGATGATGTAGTACTTGATTTCCATGATAAGAAGTTTGGATTGTATCCAGAAAGCAATGGTAATTAATGCATCACATCTATTTATTGAACATTTACTATGGACAAGCACTGTTCAAGGCATGAGGCTATAGCAGCGATTAGGTCAGATGAGGTCCCTACCTTTATTAAGGGACTTATATTTTAGTGGGAGGACATAGATAATAAACACATAAATAAGGCAGTGATAAGTGCCATAAAGAAGATAGAGTATTGTGAAGGAGAAGGCCTGCTTGGGGACATTTGCTTTAGCTAGGGCAGTTTTTCAGGCATTTCTGAGGTGAGAACTGAAAATAGGAAGGAGAGAAGCATTCTGTCATGGGGGATGGGGCAGGCTGGGGAGTTTAGAGCATGCCAAGCACAAAGAACAGCAGACCAGAGAACCCGAGATGGAAACAAACGTGGCTTCTTTAGGGAGAAAGAAAGAGGCCAGAGTGGTTGGAGCATGGTTCTGGGTGCAAGTAGAACAAGATGTGCTGAAGAGTTTAAAAGGTGTTCCATTCATGTAGATCTTGGAATGCTGTGTCAAGAGGTGTAGATGTTTATTTTGGTCATTGGAAAGCTCTGGACAGTTCTCAGAAAGACAGTTCATCTGATTTTACCTTTAAAAATCATTTTGGTAGTTGCTACAACAGGTTTTCTTACACAGTTGGCACAACCCTATTCTCCTCTGGTCACCAAAATTCTCCAGCAGACACCAGCTGGGTGTCTTCCAATTCAATTTTGATGCTACCTGGAGTTACAGTCAGATCCCATAAGTCAGTCCCACAAGACTGACCACACTAAACATACCAAGTGGCAAGTAGTAGATTGTCATTTATAATTCTGACTGGCTATAAATTTAAGTTCTCATGACCTGCTTTTTGGGTTTGATTAATTTGCTAGGATGGCTCACAGAACACAGGAAACACATTTACCAGTTTATTATAAATGATATTATAAAGCCTACAGATGAACGATCACTGAAGAGGTGCATAGGGTGAGGAATGGTGTGGAGCGTCCACGTCCGTCTGGGCACACTACCTTGCATGTACCGCCACATGTTCAGCAACCTGGAAGCTCTCTGAGTTCTCCTTTGTGGTTTTTATGGAGGCTTCATTACCTAGGCATGACTAATTTCACTGGCAATTGATGATTAACTCAACTTTCAGCCTCTCTTTCCTTCTAGGGTGGGGTGTGTGGAGGATAGGAGATGGAGGTTCCAACTCTCTTATCACATGATTGGTTCCCTTGGAAACCAGCCCCATCCTGAAGCTATCCAGGAGTCCACGAAGAGTCACCTTGTTAGTACAAAAAATGCTGCTATTTGCGCAGAAAATTTCAAGTGATTTAGGAACTCTATGTCTCTTATCACTCAGGAAATTACGAAGGCTTTAGGAGTTCTGTGTCAATACCTGGTCAAACACCAAATGCTAGAACAAAAGATTCTTGTGGCACCCCATCTACCATGGTTTTAGGAGCTCTATGTCAGGAACTGGGGGTGGAGACCAAAATATATATTTCTAATTTCACACCTGGAGAAGAGCCTATAGTGAGGCAAAAAACAGAAGAACCAGGCGAGGCATGGTGGTTCACGTCTGTAATCCTAGCATTTTGGGAGGCCGAGGTTGGCGGATCACTTGAGGCCAAGAGTTCCAGACCAGCCTGGCCAACATAGTGAAACCCTGTTTCTACTTAAAATACAAAAATTAGCCAGGGGTGGTGGTGGGCATATGTAATCCCAGCTACTCAGGAAACTGAAGAAGGAGAATCACTTGAACCCAGGAGGTGGAGGCTGCAGTGAGCCGAGATCGCAGCATTGCACTCCAACCTGGGCGACACAGTGAAACTCTAACTCAAACACAACACAACACAACAAAACAACAACAACAAGAAATCAGGAGAACCAGTTAAGATGCTGTTGCAGTCCAGGGACAAGATTGGAGTGACTCTAACTGGGGTTGTAGCAGACAGTCACGTGGCTAGAAAGTGGTAGACAGAAACTCACTGTGTCTTACCCATTCCCCTGACTAGTCTGGAGCAGCAACCTAATGCCATGCAGGAACACAGACTAATGAACAGTATTTACAACTAAGAGAGAAGCTGCTGAGTTTCTGAGGCTGATTCTCATTTTTTCACTGTATTTATTTATTAATTCATCATTACGCAGGATTTTGTGTCTCACACTGCTGTTAAGCACACCATGAAATGGAAGAAACGAAACTACGTTAACAGGAGGCTTTGCTAAGTGTGCTACTGTAAATGTTTTCTGAGATGTCAAGTGAAGCCATCAGGCTCTTTGAGAGTTATTTGATATGTGGACGGAGGAGAAAATTGCCAATATTCTTCTGTTTTTATCATACTTATTCCTCCCAAATGTTGGCCAAACTTCCTTCACCCCATCTTCTCTCTCTCCCTCCCTCCTTCCTTACAAGGCCCTATATGATCTGGCCCCATTACCTGGCTCCCTACTTTCCCCCTTGTTATTTCTCCCAGCCACACTGGCCTCTTCATGGCTTCTAGAACATGCTTGGCAGTGTTGGCATTTGCTGTTCCTTTGGCATTCATGCTCTTCTTTGCAGTAGGCTGCATGACTTGATCTTCCAGGTTCTCTGGTCTCGGTTTAATTTTCACCAATCCCTCTCTCTAAAATTGTAGAGACACCTCCCCTTCCACCAAGGAGAACATAATGATACAGAAAGACTTCTGTCATCTCTTAAAATTGGACAGATTTAGTAAGCAAATGAAGCAAGAACACAGAGGAGCTGAACGATACTTTCAATACATTTAATGTAGCTGGTATTTATAGAAGCTTATAGTCTCTGAATGGAGAATATTCATTTTTCCATTTGCAGTTGCATAATTTATAAAAATTGATAATGCATTTGATCTCAAAGAAAACCTTTAATTTTAAAGGATAGCGATTTTACAGGTCACATTCTAGGATTATATTTCAGTAAAAATGGAAATAGAATGTGACCCAAAATGTTTTTTTTTTTTTCCCATTTATTTATTTTATTGCATTTTAGGTTTTGGGGTACATGTGAAGAACATGCAAAATTGTTGCATAGGAACACACGTGGCAGTGTGATTTGCTGCCTTCCTCCCCATCACCTACATCTGGCATTTCTTCCCTTGCTATCTCTCCCCAGCTTCCCACCCCAAAATGTTTTTTTAAACCAGGATTATAATAAGCACTACATGCATAGATAATCTCTAGATAAAAGAAGTCAAAAGGAAAGTTTCAAACTTTCTAGGAAGCCATAAAAAAGGAGAGCACTTTAAGTACGGTGGCCTGTGCCTGTAGTTCCAGCTACTTCAGAAGCTGAGGCAGGATTGCCTGAACCCAGGAGTCAAGTCAGGCTTGGGCAATATGTCAAGACCCTGTCTTTAAATAAAAATTTTAAAAAGAGATTACCTTATACTAAAATCATTGGACGCTGCAAAATATGTGCCCAAAGATAAATTTATAGCTTTAAATATGTTCATTATTTAAGAAAGGCATTCTTTGAGAGACCCCCGCCCCCCATTCAAATTCAAGTTCACAATTGTTCAGCTTTGTCAACTGTGTGCAATTCTTTCCTGATGGGAACAGATTTGCCACAGCCAGTGCTGACGGCCAGATACACATGTATGACGGTAAGACCGGGGAGAAGGTGTGAATGCTGGGCAGAAGCAAGGCCCACGACAGCGGGATTTATGTCATTAGTTTGGAGTCCGGACAGCACCCATTGCTTTCTGCTTCTGGGGACAAAACTTCCAAGATTTGGGATGCCAACGTGAACTTGGTGGTCAGCACAATTCCCATGGGCTCCACGGTTCTGGACCAGCAGCTGGGCTGCCTGTGGAAGAAGGACCACCTGCTCAGTGTCTCCCCGTTCGGGTACATCAACTATTTGGACAGAAACAACCCCAGCAAGCCCCTGCGCGTCATCAAGGGCCACAGTAAATCGATCCAGTGTCTGACGGTGCATAAAAACGGAGGCAAGTCCTACACTTACTACCGGAGCCACGACGGACACATTAATTCCTGGGATTCGGAGACAGGGGAGAAGGACTCTTTCGCTGGGAAGGGCCACACGAACCAGGTGTCCAGATGGACCATGGCGGAGCCACCATGGGTGGCTCATCAGCTGCTGCATAGACGACACCGTGCGGTACACCAGCCTCACGCCGCGGGACTACAGTGGACAAGGAGTGGTGAAACTGGACGTTCAGCCAAAGTGCGCAGCCTTCGGCCCCGGGGTATACGCCATGGTCGGGTGCATCCGGCAGAGAGTCCTGCTGGAGACTCAGAGGAAGTGCTTCAGCAATCACAACCCCGGCTCCCAGCCCGGAGCTGTGGCCGCGCACCCCGGCGGAGGGGGGGCGCGCACGCACTTCCGCCCGCCCGTACTCCATCTTGGGCACCAGGCTGAAGGACGAGGGCGAGCTCCGAGAGGCCAAGGGCCGGGTGACCGAGGTGGCCTCCTCCCACGACGGCGCTTTCCTCGCGGTGTGCGACGCCAGCAAGCTGGTCACGGTGTTCAACGTTGCCAGCGGCTACTCGAGAACAGTGTTTTTGATGGACACCATGCAAAAATCGTCTGCCTGGCCTGGTCCCCAAACGATGAACACTTTGGCCCCAGTGGCGGGGACAGGATGGTGTACATCTGGACCCTGAGTGACCCGGAAACCAGAGTCAAGATCCAAGGCGCACATCGGCTGCACTATGTCAGCAGCCTGGCCTGGCATGGCTGGACGAGCGCACGCTGGGCACGACCTCCCACGTTGCCTCTGTTAAGGAGTGGACAATCACCTACTGAGGAGCCCCACCCCCGCCTCTGGACTGACCGAATCAGGGACGAGAGTTGAACTGCAGTGGAACATGTCATTTCTCTATTTCTGTGATGCGCCTCTTTGCCCCCGCCCCACCGCAAGAGGCAGGAGGGCCCCGTCATGATCCTTGTCTCTGCGGGGTGTCTGTACACGTTCTTCTGAAAGCTTTAGACAGAAACGGATTGCACATGAGAAATAAAGCGAGCACTTAAACAATGTGTGGAGCGTTACTAAACCCAAAGCCCAACCAAACCTTGAGAATGCGGAACATTCCAGAGGAATGTTTGGAGTAGCCTCCAAAGCACACAGAGCCCCGGCCCCCGCTGTGGCTCTCACTGTCAGCGAGCGTTGTACAGGTAAATGAGCCGGGGCTCTCACGTTCCTCCCTGCAGAACATTTCTGTACTGGTGAGAAGAGGGAGTACGCGTTGCAGTTCAGCAAAGCGGGAATTCTCTGTTGAGATGTCTGTCTCTTCCTAGCATGTGACTCACACCGTGTGGCTGCCTTCCAGATCAGATGGGGACACACAAACCCTTGGGTATGTTTTATTGTCAGATTTTGTGCTTGATTTTAAGAATGGAATTATTATTTTTTATCTTAACGGTTGCCTGTCAGTGTTTATAAACGAGTGTGCTGTCAGCACCGTGTCCAGATTTTTAGAACCCTTGTTAGCCAGAACTGGTCATGGTTTCACTATTATGCTTTGATGTTCTCCTGTCTTTCTCTTCCTCTTCTGCTCCCAGGAGCAAAGGTTAATTTAAAGGCAAAGATAAAGTTACTGTAAACTAATCTGCCATCGTTTTAACATTCCTTTACTTTTTCAGTGCAGAAATTAAAAGTAAGTATAAAGCACCATGATTGGGAGTGTTTTTGCATGTGTCAGAACCACTGGTATATGTTGGCTGAGAAAAATCCCTCCCCTTGCACTGTGAAAACACTGAGCAATTTAAGAGATTAGCCTGAGAAATAAATATATTTTCTCTCTCTCTCTAAAAAAAAAGTTTACAAAAAAGAACTTAGTATTCATATCAAGAAATTAGAAAAACAACTACTTAAAAGAAAAAATTAATAAAGATAAAATCTATAATGAGTGGGAATACAAACAGTTTATAATTTAAAAGCTGCTTTTTTTAAATTAAAAAATTGTTTTAGAGATAGGGTCTTGCTATGTTGCTCAGGCTAGCCTCAAACTCCTAGCCTCAAATTGTTCTTTCACCTTAGTCTCCTAAGCATTGGGATCACAGGTGTGAGCCATCATGCTGGACCCTGCTTCTTAAAATGACCAATAAGCTGCTTATTGAGTCTAAGGAGAAAAGGAGAAAAAGTATATAAAGATTAGGAAAAAGAAAGGAGAAAGAAACAGGTATTAGGAAAATTAACAGTTTTAAGAGGTATTGCATGCAATTTCTTTATAGCCGTTTGAAAAACTAGAGGGAATGTTTTATTTCAAAGAAAAATATAAGTAATTGAAAATGAACAAAGTAGAAATGGAAAACTAATGACAAGAATGAAAAGGTAATTAAAGATCCAGTAAAAAAAACCAGGAATAGATGGGTTCACAACAATTATCTAGTCTTTAAAGAATGAATAATTCCATTGTTTTACAAATGATTCCAAACCATGTAAAAAGATAGATCTCTCTCTAAATGATTTTATAAAGTCATCATAACTTTCATACTGAAAAAATATATGAATATTCACTTATGAATATAGATGCAATAAAATATAAGGAAAAATATATGAATATTCACTTATGAATATAGATGCAAAAATTATCAAGTATTAGCAAAATTAATCTGGCAATAAATCTAAGAATAATACATTTTTAGAAATGTAAGCATAGGTTGGATACTGTGGCTCAAGCCTGTAATCTCAGCACTTTGGGAAACGGAGGCAGGTGGATCATGAGATCAGGAGTTCAAGATCAGCCTGACCAAGATGGTGAAACCCCTTATCTACTAAAAATACAAAAATTAGCTGGGCGAGGTGGCAGGTGCCTGTAATCCCAGCTACTCAAGAGGCTGAAGCAGGAGAATTGCTTGAACCTGGTAGGCAGAGGTTGCAGTGAGCTGAGATCCTGATAATGCACTCCAGCCTGGGCAACAGAATGAGACTCCATCTAAAAAAAAAAAAAAAAAAACGAAAAAATAAAGAAATGTAAGCATAGATGAATAGCAGGAAATCTAGCAACATACTTTAATATGTTAGCAAATCATATGTTATTTGAATAAATAAGGAAGAGCATTTGATAAAGTTAACATCCATTCCCAATTAAACTATAATTAAGATAGGAAAAGAAGGAAATTTTTTTGTGGTAGTTCATTTTAGCCAACAACCATTATTTGTCCTATTATTTTAAAAATTCCTACTGCAATGGACTGTTTATGTCTCCTCCTCCATATTCACGTTAAAATATTCATCCCCAAGGTGATGTATTAGAAGAGGGGCCTTTGGGAGACGATTAGGTCGTGAGGGTGGAGCCTTCATGAATGAACTAAGTGCCCTTATAAAAGAAACTCCGAGATTCCTCATCCTTTCCACCATGTGAGGATGCAACAAAGAATGTTGTCTGTGGACCAAGAAGCTTGCCTTCACCAGACACAGAATCTAACAGTGCCTTGATCTTGGACTTTCCTGCCTTTCCTATATTTATTTATAATAATTTATTTTACACAAACTTCTGTTGTTTGTAAGTCACCTGGTTTATGGTATTTTGTTATAGCAGCCTGAATGGACTAAAACATTTACCTTTATGTTAAAACAGAATGTTTTGAACTTGCTAATCATCTGACTGCAAATAGCTAGACAAATAATCACATATATTTTCAGAGTACTAGTTAGTCAAACAAGTTCTCCTTTTTAAAGTTAGCCACCAAACTTCTTTATGTTACAAATTGCTCATGAAATTTTCCTGATTCTTGTGATATGAGATATTATGACCTCAGTTATTTGTCTGACAGCAGAAAACTGTGCCTTGTTCAAACTGAACAAGGCATGCATGCAGTTTAATTTGATGATTCACTCATAGTCTTATATCTGTTACACACTAATTACCAGTGGCTGGTTATTTCCAGTTCCATTAGACAAATAACATATAGGCTATGTGTCAAAATCTGATAGTGAATATTATCCTAAAATCAAATCATAAAAATGATTTCTATTAAAATAGAAAACCCATCAGGTATGTTTATTATCACCACTGTTATTTACCACTGATTGGGAGGTCCTAGGGATGTAATGAGACAGTAAAATAAAATAATTGATATAAATATTGGAAAAGAAGAGAGAAAACAATCACTTTTTAAAAAATTTTTGAGACAGAGTTTCCCTCTTGTTACCCAGGCTGGGGTGCAATGGCTCAATCTCGGCATACTGCAACCTCCGCCTCCTGGGTTCAAGCCATTCTCCTGCCTCAGCCTCCCGAGTAGCTGGGACTACAGGTGCACGCCACCATGCCCAGCTAATTTTTGTATTTTTAGTAAAGCTGGGGTTTCACCATGTTGACCAGGATGGTCTCAATCTCTTGACCTTGTGATTCACCCCCCTCGGCCTCCCAAAGTGCTGGGATTATAGGCGTGAGCCACCGCGCCTCGCCAACAATCACTTTTTGCTGATGATACAATTTTATACTTAGAAAACCAAAGACACAAGTAAATAAAAGCACACAATAATTAATGAGAAACGTTGGTTAGGTGACTAAAACAAGACTCATATACAAGAATTAGTCATTATTTTAATAACAAGTACTGAGTAAAATAAATGGAAAAATAGCATTTATATAAATGACAGAAACTATAAAATACTTAGAAGTAAGTTTTAAAAGAAAAGCACAGAAACTGCTTTTCTTTTAAACCTTATATGACATAAAACAAGACTTGAACAAATAAGATAATGTATTTAAGTGAGAAGACAGTATAATAAGTGTCAGTTTCCCCTGAATTAACATAACTTGATGAAATTGAGATTAGAATACCAATAGGAAGACATTTAAAAAGTCTCTTTGTTTCTTTTGCTGTGCAGAAGCTGTGGAGTTTGATTAGGTCCCATTTGTCTATTTTGGCTTTTGTTGTCAATGCTTTTGGTGTTTTGGTCATGAAGTCCTTGCCTACACCTACGTCCTGAATGGTTTTGCCTAGATTTTCTTCTAGGGTTTTTATGATGTTAGGTCTTATGTTTAAGTCTTTAATCCATCTGGAGTTAATTTTAGTGTAAGGTGTCAGGAAGGGGTCCAGTTTCTGCTTTCTGCACATGGCTAGCCAGCTTTCCCAACACTATTTATTGAACAGGGAATCCTTTCCCCATTGCTTGTTTTTGTCTGGTTTGTCAAAGATCAGATGGTTGTAGATATGTTGTCTTGCCTCCGAGACCTCTGTTCTGTTCCATTGGTCTATATCTCTGTTTTGGTACCAGTACCATGCTGTTTTGGTTACTGTAGCCTTGTAGTATAGTTTGAAGTCTGGTAGTGTGATGCCCCCCGCTTTGTTCTTTTTGCTTAGAATTGACTTGGCTATGTGGGCTCTCTTTTGGTTCCATATGAAGTTTAAGGTGGTTTTTTCCAGTTCTGCGAAGAAGGTCATTGGTAGCTTGATGGGGATAGCATTGAATCTGTAAATTACTTTGGGCAGTATGGCCATTTTCACGATATTGATTCTTCCTAACCATGAACATGGAATGTTTTTCCATCTGTTTGTGTCCTCTAACTACATTGAGATACCATCTCACGCCAGTTAGAATGGCGATCATCAAAAAATCTGGAAACGATGCTGGAGAGGATGTGGAGAAATAGGAACACTTTTACACTGTTGGTGGGAGTGTAAATTAGTTCAACCATTGTGGAAGACAGTGTGGCGATTCCTCAAGGACATAGAAATAGAAATTCCATTTGACCCAGCAATCCCATTACTGGGTATATATCCAAAGGATTATAAATCGTTCTACTATAAGGACACGTGCACACGAATGTTCATTGCAGCACTGTTTACAATAGCAAAGACCTGGAACCAACCCAAATGCCCATCGACGATAGACTGGATAGGGAAAATGTGGCACATATACACCATGGAATATTATGCAGCCATCAAAAACGATGAGTTTGGGTCCTTTGTAGGGACGTGGATGAACCTGGAAACCATCATTCTCAGCAAACTGACAGAAGAGCAGAAGATCAAACATCACATGTTCTCACTCATAGATGGGTGTTGAACAATGAGAACACATGGACACAGGGAGGGGAGCACTACACACTGGGGGATCAGTTGAGGGGAAATAGGGGAGGGATGGTGGGGGGTGGGAAGCTGGGGAGA